GTAAGAAACTGGGAGAAAATAGGTGCGGGCCCACTAACATGAAGCGCACCAAAGCGGGAAAGCCCATATGAAGCCCAAGTGGGGTTCCATCCCAAAATCAATTGGTGGAAGGAGGAGTAGCCCATTAGACTTATAAGGTGGGTCTATTTTCCATGTATGAACGATGTGGGACAAGTCACAAGTGATATTCTAACAAGCCTTAAAAAAAGGTTTAAGAGTTGACATGATGAAATTGTTTGATCAACCTTTTTCATTTGCTTTTAGATATGAAGCCAATATTGGCCTGGAGATAGACATGGCCACGAGCTGGCCCGACCTGCGAGTTTGACTCGAACTAGCTCAGAATCAACCTGTGGTTCGATCGTGCCAGTTTCGGACTACATATTTTTAATTTTTGTACCGTCAGACCAATTTCGAATTGGAATCTAAAACTGAAAATCCAACCTTAATCATTTTTAATTATACCGGGTCGACTCAGAATCGGCGGTTCACTGAACTGACCCATAACTGTCGATTCAGTGAACCAGTTCGTGCATATGTTTGGGCCAGTTCAGGGCTCTCCAAACTCTGGCCCGACCGTTCCAACCTGGAACTAGTTCAAAACCGGCAGTTCCGACCTGGAACCATGGTAGGCTGGAGAGGGCAAAATCGTACTTTCCCTAAAGATAGTGTTCTCGGGAGCTTTTCACTACGACAAAATGATGAAATTATAATGGAAAAATCCAATACAAATATATTCCAATGATAATCCAACGGAAACTGCAATAGATATTCCAATGTTATTATTTGCGTTGGAACTTTTCATTTGATTCTGTTTGTTCCATTTTTGTCGTGTTTTCCTTGTTTATTTTGCATTTATTTTTCTCTATTCTAGATTATTTTCTTTGATTCTTGGTCCAAATTGTGTCGTGTCTTGCATTTTCTTTATTTTGTTCGTTTTTGGTTTTTCTTGTTTCTTTTTCCCGGTTTTCTGCGTTTTTCTTGTCGGTGGTGATGTGCAGGATAGGTAGTTCAATTGGGAAGTGACCATGCGAGGATAATTATCTAGACGGATGAGTTGGGGTCGAGTAGGAAAAAACGGAATCCAATTCCGAGTCCGAATGCGTGGATACGAGCCCGGAAATCACAGCCATGTCACAGAAATCCTTCACCGCGGCCCGCGAGAGTGTTCCCGCAGCCGCGGTGAACAAATCGCACAAGGCGCCCAGTTTTCTTCACCGCGGCCGCGGAGGAGGAAGTCGCGGCCGCGGATAGGTCGGGAATTTGGAGCCGGCGTACAGAGGCGAAAACTCGCGGCCGCGGGACATGTCGCGGCCGCGGACCGTCCCTTCACCGCGGCCGCGGGACATGTCGCGGCCGCGGAACTCGCGAATTCAGATTTTAAAACAACAAATTTTATTTTGAACAATTCATTCGTTTTTGGGATCTAGGTTTCGAACTCTCTAGGGATTTTCACCCAAAAACTCAAACTTTCTCTTGTTTCTGATCTTGTGATTCGATCTTGGAGAGGAAAACTCTGGGATTCGACTTTTGGATTCGGTTTGCTCTTGTTTTCGACATTGGATTATTTAATCGTAAGCTTTAATTTGGTTTTATTATTGATTGAAT